GTTATATGTGATAGAATTTTTGTTTGCGATTCACTTTTCAATAAAGTTATATAGAATAATATATAAAGACACACTAAAATAAAGTTATTTTCATATAAACAATCAACGTTTTGACTTCAAGACGTTTGAAAATATGTCAAATGTATTCATTTCTATCCTGTACTTCGATTTATATGAAGAATTTTGATTAAAAAAAAGGAAATGTGATTTACCTATTAGAAGAATAACAAGTAACCAAGTTTTATATTTTTGATATTTAAGAGCAATTCCTTGATCTTGAATATTATTATCATTATAATCATTCTCTTCTAACATAAAAATATTATAATTATATCCCTTTTTATACATCCATATTAATAAATTTTTCCATTTCATCATTGAAATACTTGCTTGTGAACAAAAGAAAAGCTAGATTAAAATGAAAAGAATGAATAAACTTTTATCTTTATTAATAAATTTATATTACATTAGCAAATGTTTCTAGAATAATCTATTCTTTTTTTCAAATATCATGTTTCCTTTCAATATTTTTATCTTAATTAGCAAAGCTTTTAGAAAGAAAATAAATCAGTTCATGATAAACTATTCATAAAATCAATATAATTCATCTGTTCATCTATTTCAAATCATTTTCTTTTCAAATAAGTGAATTTCTTCGAGATGTTTTTCATAAAAATAGGTAAAAAATATATTCACCATTTGGTTACATACGTAAATAACTTTAAAGAAGCTAATGGAAAGAGCTGTATAATAGCGAAAAGAATAGAATGAACAGAACTATATAACGAACAATATAGTGAGAGTTGAAAATTGTCGAAATTGAAGATGTTGTGACGTTTAATATATGGAACATAGAAGCGAGTAGAACATTTATGATCATCTATACTTTGAACTTTTTCGCATTGAAACATATCCTATGGATTCGATAAATGTATTCTTATCTACATCTATATTAATGCCATTCCATTTCATTTTAAGAATAAAATGAAAATGTACTAGTTTTTTTTTCTGTCTCAACGATTCATCCCTCAGTATTGTGAGACATGTATCTGTGCCAATAATATTTGCATTATGAATATATGAATATACGTAAAATGACGATGTCTTTTTTACCTAGAAATTATGCATTGGTGGGATCAAGGGGCTCCGCCGCTGAACCTATGCTAATCAAAAGAGTGTCGTAACACCCCATATAAGATTTTGAATTAAAAATAGAAGAAAAATCTAGTTCAGAAGACTCGTCATCGCAGTTAATTACCTCAATCTATGCAGTTAAAAGAATTCTTGAATTGACCATGCTTTTTTCTCACCTTTTAGAAGAATTCAATGACATTTCTAAAAAAAAATGGCTGCAACTATGTCATCTCCATGTTGGGCAGCATTTGATCAGTATGTTAGCACACATCGNCAACTTTTATTCAAAGATCATATATGTTATCCGAACAATAGAGTAACATATCTGTCGTTTTCATATACGTATATTTATGTCGAAATGATCTTTACTATTAAAGTTTCGACGAGAGCAAAAGATCAGAATACGGTACCGCCAAATCATGTGATACAATATCGTTTTGGCCTGTTTCATTAAATGTGAATGAAAATGACTATGTGCAAGCACCTTGTATTAAGACAATAGAAATAGAGTTTCTTGTTACACAGCATGAGCAATCCCGTATTGATTCCATAGATCTTCATGTAGAAATAATCTTCTAACTCACTTTAATCTGAACCATTACGCGACTAAAGACGTGAGGTTGGATTCTTCCAACGATTAAAATACTCATCTTCTCGCAGTTCATTGCGCAGAAATCAATTCTTCCTCCAATGAACAGAAAAATCATTAACATTCATCAGACTTTCATCATTCTGAGAAGCAGATATAACTGCATATTATGAATTTTTCCCCGCACGAGTTGCTCAATAAACATCGTCCATTCACTACCACATCCCTCAATGACGTTCTATCTTGCACAGAACAGTTGTCAGTCGTTCATCGACTTGAGATAGTCGGAAGGCCGACTTTTCGTTCAGTTCGGTTCATTTTCGTATATAATATGAGAAGGATTCAATTGAACACACGATTCGATCACATTCTATCTTATACAGAACAGTAGACAGTCATTCATCGACTTGAGACAGTCGGAAAGACGACTTTTCGTTCACACGTAGTCACTTTCATATATAATATGAAAAGAATTCAACTGAACACATGAATCGATGTTGTTCTATCTTGTACAGAACAGTAGACAGTCGTCGATCTACTTGAGATGGTCGGAAGGCCGACTTTTCGTTCAGTTCTGTTCATTTTCATATGTAGTATGAAAAGCATTCCATTGAACATTCGATTCGATCACGTTATATCTTACACAGAATAGTACGCAGTCGACAAGCCATTAGATTACGGTATGATTTAAGTGGTTCCTGTGGGATGCACTGTGTGGTGAATAAGCGTGAAAGTTGGCTGGATAACATCGAATATTTGGGTGGAGCTGCCATGACTAGTTTCATCTTCTGCTCAAGAAGATTCATCAGATGGCTTTTAATTTCACTCGATTTAATTCAAAATAAAATTTTTCAAATGAAAAGTCCATTTCAAACAAAATCAAAGCAAAACAAGATGAATTATCACGTAAAAATTCATTGTTTCTCTTGCAGCTTTGCATGGTGAGTTAGTGCAGACATGAGTAATACGGTGACAGATAACTGTGAAATTATCCTCTTCAATTACATATTGTTTACAATACCAACATTTGAAAAACTACTATTTTTCTCCAGAATTACCAACAAGCCACGTTGTTCTGTGGACATTTGGCTCAGAAATATATTCGCTACTATTTCCTAGTATAATCTAATCGTGTGTAGGCTGGATCATAAACATATTCTATATCAGAATTATATAAATCGAATTTTTGGAAAACACTCTTTTATCTATTTGAATGACAAAATAAGTATTCTTTTCTCTTATTGACGAACAACAGAAACGACATTGCCTATTGCGTTATTCAAAACGTATACTGGTGTTTGATTTTGTTGTGGATGAAATAATTTGACCGGGTCTAAAAAAAAAATCTTTAATTATTATCGTTATCAAAAGAGAAGTTTCTGTATATATTTGTAAATGTGCGACAATGCCAATAGTACTGTTATCTATATGTGAATACTCTACTTATAAAGGTACTTTTTTATGTTTATGACGTAACATATCTTGGGCTAGGATTCAAGTATTTCCCGGAAGGATTCGCCAATTCATCTGACCGAATCTGACCGAATCTGACCAAGATAGAACTCGACGAGCTCGATCTAATGGTCACATTGGTTTCCGAAAAATACCCCCCTTCTGGTAGAAAACCCCAAAATACTATACAGATCTCTGGAAAACCTAGAAGGATTCGCTAATCCATCTGACCAAATCTGACCAACTACGGGCCAAGATAGAACTCGACGAGCTCTATCCAATGGTCACCTTTTTTGATCGATTCCACTAAGTTTTAGTATCAAAAATGGTAAAATGGTGATATTTCAAGTAGTAAATTCTATTAGAACTTTTTATATTTATGTAGGGAGTAGACCAAATTGACTCATAGATAGATCAATATAGGGGCTTGATGAGTTCTATCGAATAAACATCCTTTTCTCCGATTCGAATGAGTTAAAGCAGATAATATGACTAATAAACAGCATAAAGCCTATATGTCGTTGTGAAAGAATGAGTTTATTAAGTATATATTCAACAGAAAAGTTTTGATTTTGCGATAACAAAAAATTACAGTTGGAAAAGAGCAAACAGAAATGATTCAGAAATATTATTATACAGTTAAAATCTCATCTATCTCATTTTTGAGTTTGCGTATTGATTTATGTACTTTGTGTTTTAGATAAGTGCCAATATAGGAAAGTAGAGCCAGAAGAATGGTCAATAATATGCCTAGTCCATAAAATAATATATCCATGATCTTTTTCGATGCAAAAACTGTCGATAACTCTTTTATTGATTCAACAGTTTGTTGCTGATAGTTCGATATTAAAATTCTGGTCATGTCTGTCAGTGGTACGGTTTGACTTGTTAGCTGTTGAAATTTTGATGCTATATTTGATCTAACAATAATTCGATGTTGTGTACATAATGATGAATGCATTTGATTGTTAGTACATGTGATTGTTTTGTCACATAGCATATGTACTATTGATGGTTCAAATATCAATAATGGTTCGGTTAGTTCTTTTGACACGGACTGAATCTGGCAGTATTCATTTTGACGAATATTAAAATACTAGTAACGCTCGTCGAAGCAGACTCGCTATGTCCTCGACTGAACCACTGACTGAAAATAAAATAGTCTTCTGTGCCTTTTATGCAAGAAAAAGACAGAAGTATGACCTTTGAAAGGCTCCCCAGAGACTGATCTTCATTCGCTTCACAGTCTTCAAAAGAGTCAAAGGACTACTTGTGATGCTTTTAATTATTCTATATTCCTGACTGACAATTACTCTTCACAGAAAGCAGAAGTTCGCTATAAATGACTATTACGGATTTGCACCTTTGAACATGCCCTCCTTTTTCTAAAAGAAAGATATTTTCGGTAAGACCAAATGAGACTCTGTATATATTTCGCATTCGAACGTGTCGGATTGTTTATACTTTTGTAACTGGCCAGATTACCAGGCGCAGTTCATTGTTCGTCGGCGCTCCAAAGCTGTCCCTATCTATCATATAATTACGCGTGTGCTACTAAAAAGTATCGAAAACTAATTAACATTCCATCAGCATCTCATGGATAAGACTATCCTCGTCCGAACATTTGAGGTTATCTCCTTATTAAAAAGCTCGAGGGCTTACAAAAACGTTCAATCCACGGAATCTCAGTACTTATGATTGCTCCCCAGTATGTAACTTGTGAATGAATGTATTTTTCGATTACTGGCCTTTGGTATGCGACAGTCAACCAAGTGTGTTTCTTTTCGTAATTCGCTTTTTCTATGTATTCCTTCTCTCAGCCGCGGATGAAATGTTCTCTTTATCTCTGTCACGTTCCTGTCCATTCCCGCCTCACCCAGCCGGCTTCGAACCTCACGACCCTTCCCCCAAACAATGTTTCATGAAGTTTCGAGCGTTTTCGAAAAAGATGTTTTTTGACCTTTGACCCTGCCACAAACAAACATACAAACTATTTTTTTCATATGACCCTCCTTTCAGTCGAGGGAATCTTAACAGGAAATCTCGATACAATAATAAATAATTGGATTCCATTATTAAGTGGAATTTTATTTTTTTGTTTTCTTTTTCAAAAACGTCCAATACAAATTGATGTATTTTGTTGGAAACGAGATCGAAAAATGGTTATTCAGTTATTAAGTATAAGATTATTTTATGTTTTTGCTTGGGGACCATTACAACCTGCTGGTATTTATATACTTTTATTTTGATGGAATATCGCTCAATTTATTGTTGATTATTTTTATGGTTTACCATATTCTATTCATTTATTTTATCCATTTGTTGTTCTCTTTTCAAATTCGGAATTTCGACGACAACAACGACGAAATCGTATCATTCAACCTTAAACTGATTATCGATTACAAATAGTAAACAGAATTCGTACGAATTAATCTTTTATGTGTTAAAATAAAAATATCACTTCATCTACATGCAGTAGATTTGAAGGTGAAAGATATGTGAATTGAGTTTAAAGTAGATTAGTTGCTTAAAAACACACCGTTTAAGGATATTATATAGGAAAAGCAGAGTTATTGAACAAGATATGTGATAAACGATTGGTAACTAGATTCTTCTCCATATTTAGCGTAAATAGTTAGTTTTTTGGATCCAACAGTTATTGTTCTCTTGAAAACTGGATCCTCATATCCTTCTTTGTTTGCCCATATCGAGTCAGTGGTCAAATTAACATCACTGGCACCTGGGATTAAGCAATGAATTGATATTGTTGTACCTGCTTTAAGAATTCCATTTAACGGTTCATAAATTCGACCTTTTCGATTTTCAAAAGTTTCGTATGTAGTAGGAAATTTTATGGGTAGTTTGAGGTGTGTGACATTAAGGTCAAATTGAAGAGCACATTTTGACTTTGATTCTTCATGATGTTTTGCAAATACAGTTATTTTATGTTGACCAATGCATTGAGGTGCAAATAATAATTGCCATAATCTTCTATCACTATCAAATTGAACTAAGGATCCATTTTCTACTGTAAGATCATTATAATCAATTACACCTGAAAGTTGGACATCATTTGGTGCTCTTATTAAACTTTCCACGTATGAAATGTCTTTCAGCCAAGTTATAGTTGAAGAATTCTTTGGTACTTCTATTTCTAAATTAAGATCATGAAATGATTGCCAAGTTCGTGGAAAGGATAATGGTATAGCTGGAGTTTGCAATGCATCAATTTTGAATGATACCAAATGCGAATAATTACCAGTATTCACTTTTTTCTTTCCATAAATGTTTGCCACATATGAGCCATTTCGATTAGGCGCGAATTTGCATTTCCATACACCTTTTCGTTGATCGTAATAAACTTGGCTTCCATTAATAACTCTTTCACTATCACAGTTACTCAGATTACCAGTTAACTCAACATCACTAGGCGTTTGAATAATAATGCACGCATAAGTAGCTCCATTAGATATTTTGATCAAATGGGTATTAAGTGGCGAAATAATCTTTATATCTAAATCGTAAAACTCTTTCGACATTTTTGGATAACTCACGCGATTTAAAGGTAATTCAACAACATTTAAGATAAAATTGAGTACTTGTCCGCTTGACTTCATATTTGATTCGATTCTTTTCGCAAAAATATTTATTTGATGTCTACCAATACTAGCTGGAGAAAAGTAACAACAGTATAGTTGTTTATTTTTATCCAATATAATACGGGAACCACCATCGACTTCGTTTTTATCTAATTTAAAGGTAGATGAAATATCGATATTAGATGGTGCTCGTATAAGTATTAATGCGTACGATTTACCATGAACAAGTGTAGCATGAGCTTGATGACGTGGATTTAGTAATTCTAAATTAAATGTAAAATAAGCTGGACGAACAGTTGGCATTTGCATATATTGTGTCATTTTGATCGGTTGCTTCAACAATTGCCATTTCTCATCTTCAGGTAGATGATCATAGATCATTTGATCAGACCGAGTGAGAAAATAGAAAGTTTCTAATTTTCGTTCAAAAATATTTTGCTCATTTAAATGTCCAGTACCCCATGTAGCATCCAATACATACCAATGTTGATTAATTTCAACAACATTCCACGCATGATCCGTCTTTAAAATTGCAGTTTCTTCACGAGTATCAAATCCATAACCTTTTGAATATCCACTTATTTCTTCACATTTCAACGCTAATTGATCACATAAATATTTATATAAACGACTATAACCAGCACATACACACTTTTTTGTACGAAAAACTGATTCTGCTGATTGCTCAGGAATATTATGATTAAAGAATGAAACAGCATCATATTCGATATTACAAGCAATCCAATAAAAAACTATCCAATGACGATCAATCATTAATTTATTTTTTGATAGGACCCGAATAAGTTCAACTAATCCTTGAAGAGATTTTGGTTGCCAAGATTCAATCGTTTTTCGATAAGAAGAATTATCAATAGTATCTTGACGTTGTTTTACAAATAAGTTATTAAAACACTCAAGATCAGCATTAACAATTTCAACATGATCATTAACAGTAGTAGGAAGTGAATTGATTAACGTTTCAATTTCTAGTGCATCTGATATATCATTTTGATTATTTTCATTAAAAGAAGACAATGTGCTTTTGTTGGATGTTGCCGAACCAATTCGTTGCTTATTTCGATTATCTAATTTTTAAAGAACGAGAAAAGTTAGCCGTTAGAAAAATCAAGTATTATTTATTACTATCAATTAATACTGTATGATTATTCGAAATACCAGCATCGATTTGTAGTGCGCGATGATCAGTTGTTGTTTCATTGGGTGATGTTTGTACGGAATCTGACAGTGGATTATTTGGAGCATGAGAAACAGATTGATCTGTCTGATTGTGGGTTTCATGACGCGCTGAGCAGCTTGAATGTTTGTTGGATGAAATGACTTTTTGAGTATCAGATTTCGAAGATCCACAGCCCATTACTTTTCTTTTAGACTAGTTTGAAAAGTGGATATTTTTCGTCTCAGTTTGTTCGACTTGTGTTTCTGTATGTACATAACAATTTTTGGATGCGGGAAAAAGCCAAGATAGAAGTAGACATGAATTTTGACGAAGTGAGAAAATAATCACTCCACTTCGTTTCTATTGACAAAGAAAACATAGATGTTGCTTTCGAAAATGGAAGTAAAAAAAAGTTTCCAACATAGCTATTTTTACTTGGTTTGTTAAGGGTGTGGGTGAGAGTGAGTTTGAAATGACGATGCAAAGCAATTCAAGTAAAGCAATCATTTCATCTGTCCACGAGTGTATACAAGACGTTTCAGTAGATATATCCACAGATATATTTTCAAATAAGTACGAGAAACTTATTCGAAAAGATTATTGGATCAAAGCAGGACTCGAACTCACATCTTCCGATAATCGGTCGGCTATTTTGCCAATTAAACTATTTGATATTCACTTCAATCAGTTAACGACTACATGACGAAATATCTTCTGAGTATATCTCGATGTATCAGGACATAAATGAAATTAAGATAAATCTTTTTCGAATCCATCTTGCTACATGAGGACTTATAGAATCTCCAATTTCTACAAATGAAATCAGACGATATAGTAAAACGGAACTTTCTATTCACGATAAATAAATAATGTCATAAAGAGATATTCAGATTTATCAGCACAATAATTCACAGTGAAACAAGATTTCAAAGGTTAAGATGGCATGTGTGATGCACTAGAGTCATGCATTAAGCGCATTCAATTGTTCGACTCTACAAGTTTCTTCATCTGACATTCGGATTCATTTAGAAAGAAACGTGGGTGTGTGTGAAATTCCCAACTTGAGTTCAATTATTGAACTAACACTTCGAGCATTCAGCTATTTTTGCTGGACGGATCTCCCGTAGCATCTTCAAATTACATTGTGCTTACGGGCCGAACAAGACTTCCTAAATGTGCATATTCTTATAATAGCATTATAGAATTATTTTCATCATTTTCATATACAATACCATATGTACGAACTATATGTGGATGACGACTGTGATCAACATAAAATGATGCTTCTTTTTTTGCACGAGCTCCATCTATTTTTAAGAGAATTATTTCAGATTGATTATTATTTGTTGGTAACCATTCAGCATGATAAATAGATTTTCCAAATGTTTGAAATAATGGTCGACCTGCTTTCTTTTTAACATCTTTATTAAGAATATATTGATAATTGTTTATTTTTTATGTTTCTTCAAAATGATCAACTGCTTTTTTAATAGCATAATTGGGATAAATGTGTTCAATGAGTAATTGTTGATTAGTTATTGGACTTGCACCATTTCTTCGAATTCAATCAAGTATAGGTTGTCTTTCATAAGTATGACCATTTTGTGCTAAAACAGGATCATGAAATAATTCTAATCTTATTCGACATAATAATGAGTTATCCGGCAAATTCATTTTCGGACAATATAGATCTAAAGAAAAAAAGATTCAATGAATTTAATTAAATACGATATTCATTTGTGTCCATCAACAAATGTTTCTTAAATAGAATCAACCATTTTATTCGTTCCTCTACTTTACTCACATTGATTGTCTAGGTCTTTATCTTTTTTAAAACATTTTACATTCTTATCAGTTTTTACAAAACACTGTTTAACATCATTTCATGTTTCTGTTGTTCTTATATAAATCAATTGATATTCAATTGCAATCATTGGAGATGTGTCTTCATCATCATTTTCATTCTGCAAAGAATTTTAAAAACGAAAAATAAATAGTTCTCAAGTTTGTTTTCTGTAGATTTTGAAAGAAGGCTTTTTAAAACTTTATCAATACATTTGAAAAAATATGAATTCGTATTATTTTCCTACACGAGTACTGTTTATTGCACTTGAACCTTCGCAGAGTATGACGGAATCACTTTTTTCCGCTTCTGCCTTTAATATCTCAAATTACTTTGATAAGATATACAAGGTCATCTGTCTTTCATGTTACTAAAGTTTCATTAGATTTCATTCTTCCTTTAAAATTGAAAAGTGTACTACAAAATTGTTAAATACAAAAGTTGTAGTATCTGTGCCTAGCAAAATACAGAAATAAATATTGTTAACGTTTGTAACAACATGATTCTACAATTAGAAAAATGTGAAAGCTTTTAACATCAGCTAGTCTTGGAAAATTTGAGTATTATTTTATTGAATAAGTGAGTGTGACAAAGTATCAACACAAAAGTTTTGACAAAATATCTTACATGATCCTCTTGATTGTAACGGAATATAAAAATGAATCGTAATCACAATGACAAACTGGAGGAATAGCAGTATCGCTATTCTCTCGTATGTAGATGGTATTCTCTACATTAGCGATACACCAGTTGTGTCTAATACAATACAGAACACCGTCTTTTATACAGAATAGAAAGAGAAGAGAACAAGCAGTAGCAGTACAAGGTAATATTCATAATGCAAACATTAGCAAAAAAAGAACATTACGCAAGAACGCTGTGTCATAATTGACATTTCCAAATGGTAGCGTATGAGATATAATATCGAGATAGACGTGTCTGTTGGCACACTGATATTTTGTTCGATTTCCTACGAGTGAAGCCACAGATGGAACCCCAAAATTTCTATCTCTTCAGGAAAAAAATCAGTTTGGAATCACCTTCACAGCACGAGAAAACCCGCGAATACTGATATGTTGCAGTATAGCAAATTGAAAATTCTCGAAAGTTCTTGGCTCTTAGCTCCTTGAAGGATCTGTACGCCAGAGACTTCAATCGAGCATGTTCATAGTCTATATCGTGCTCCCTGGAATGAGATGTCTGCGAGATCAAAGGGTCAAAATACTGCGGACGCTCCCTTAGATCGATTTTTCGACGGTAAAAACTACTCACTAAACTTGTTTTCGCTGCCATTTTTCGTAGGTGATTGCAAATGATTCGATCTTTCGGATTTGTTTATGATTTAACCAGACTTTTCTTCTTAAAAACTAAAATCGAGAATTTTTTTCCCCGACGTTGTACGCATAGACTAGGGATGTCCTATGGCGGACTCTCTCTCTCAAATATAGTAATGTGCGTCTTTGTTGCTAAATCCATCAAACATTAGTCTTTCCTTTATAGTTTTATCACATAAAACACGTATGAAAGAAAATAATGTGTGTGTATGGCATCATGTGCGCAAAGTCTATGTCACATTTCTCCTAATTCAATAAAATTGGCTGACGACACGTTGTTATAATTGGAAGAAAATCCAAACGTGCTTATTGAATTTGCTTTGATTTTCATGTAAAATCAACTCCTCTGTAATTTGTTGTTATATCGTTGTCATTTGGTCATTTATTCACATTTGTTGTTGAAGAAAGATTCCTACTATCGATGCATAATAAAAGCCAGTTTATATTAAAGATATGGTTCCATATTCTGAGCATTTACGGCCACAGAACAAAAGGAACAGGTATTTATCTTAACTCAGAAGATAAGATAATTTACTATATAAAATTGTGATATTATAGAAGTACCATACAATCAGCCAAAATTACCTGGTTGCCCACAATGGGATTCTCATGGAATCACATTTGCAAAAAAAGATATAATTGGGACTGAGCCACTTGATATTTTCGTGGATAGAAATAATACCGTATTTGCAATAGATATGTCTAACAAAGAGGCTCATATATGGAATGCAGGCAATATTACTCCGACGACACTTATCTTGGATAACTATCTCGAACCTTGGGGTCTGTTTGTGACGAATAACGGAGATATCTATATCGGCACTGGTGCTGATGGTTGTGTGAAGAAATGGAGGGCAAACAGAAGGAGCGGTACTATGGTGATGAATGTCTCTAGCTATTGTGCTGGACTGTTTGTGGATACTGCGAATTATCTTTACTGTTCTTTAGGAGAGAAGCATCAAGTTGTAAAGCAATCATTGGTTAACAATACGAATACCTTAATAATAGTCGCAGGGTCTCATACTCAGGGAACAGCTGCTAAGATGCTTCATGGACCTCGTGGAATCTTTGTAGACATCAACTTCGATCTATACGTAGCTGATTGCTTTAATCACAGAATTCAACTTTTTAAGTTCGAGAATCTAATTGGAACAACGGTAGTAGACAGTGCCAGAGCATCGAATATCAACCTTCGTTATCCTACAGCTGTATTGTTGGATGCCGATCGTCATTTATTCATTGTTGACAATGGAAATCATCGTATTGTTAGATTGCTATCTACTGGATTGCATTGTATAGCTGGATGTTCAGGCGTCGTCGGCTCAACATCTTCTCATCTACATTATCCATATGCTGCTGCTTTTGATAGTCATGGTAATATCTTTGTCGCCGATCAAAACAATAATCGAATTCAAAAATTTATGCTATTACTAAATACTTCTAATTCAATAGGTCATTCAGAAATAGTTATGGAATCGAGCTTCTCATCAGAACTGACAATAAGTAGTCGAACATTTAGGCCTAGCGGTTGTGGTACACACAGTTATTACTATCAAGCGATTCAACTGAATGTGATTGAGAATGGTTGTTATAATCTTGTGAGCAACAATACAATCTCAACGTATGGCTATATCTACAGAGATGATTTTAATCCATTCAATCCAGCTGTAAATTTATTTTTACAGAATTATCAAAGCTATCATAATCATCAGTTTAAGTTTCAAACTTATCTTCAGATCAATACTACGTACATACTGGTTGTCTCAACATCTAATCCAAATGTAACAGGAATGTTTGCGGTGCTTGCAGTCGGTCCACATCGCATCAACTTTAACCCTCTCGGTAATTTGTTTTCTTTTGTGTTCTACTTTCTTTGAATATAATGATCATTAGACACTGAACCAATTATTCAATCATTATACCAATCGATATTGACCATTAATAGTCACACATATAGACGCGAAAGATGTAAATCATCAGACGTCTACTACGAAGCCATACAGATCAATGTGATCACATCTGGGTTCTACAGTTTTTCTAGCGAAAGCAAATTTGATGCATATGGCTCTCTGTATAAACACTATTTTGATCCGTTTGACATACGTGAGAATTTTATCATTGCAAATGATGATGGATGTGTCGATCGTCAGTTTGTATTCATTGCCTATCTCCACTTCAATACTACTTATGTATTGGTCATGACAACGTTTCATTCAAGTACAACTGGCATATTTTCCATCAGAGCATCTGGTGCACACAAAGTCATCTTTAATCGTATAAGTAAGTACGTAGTTATTGTGATACAAAAGTGCATTACGATTTTTATTAGTGATTCAATCAACATATGCATCAGAGTTGAATGCACAAACTGAAGTATATTCTCGTGTTTGTGGACGAACAAGTTACCATTATCAAACAATCGAAGTCAATGTGCAAGAGAGTGGTGCCTATAGTTTTGATAGCAACAGCACCATTGTGATGTACGGATACATTTACGAGAGCGCTTTTGATCCATTTAACCCAACTGAAAATGTACTCTCACAGAGTGGATACGATTGTGATGGATATCACTTCCACTTTGCAACTTATCTTCGTGCTAATACCATATATATACTGCTTATGACAACGTTTCACCCAGATATTCGAGGATCGTTTTCAGTGCTTGTTTCTGGCCCAAATAACATTAGTCTCAATCGCATTAGTGAGTCTATCTGCGATAGAAATCTTGTCTCCTAGTCCTATTAATATTTTTTAGACAAAAGGTATACCAATTGTGTTATTGGTGATCGGTGTAACTTTTACACTAAAGGTATCGGCTTAACGCTTGATGATATTTTACGCAATGAATTTCAGTCTGATACAACGTTGTATCATCAATCCGTGTTAGTAAAAACCAGCGCTGCTCTAACAATAATTATGTTCATTGGTGGTTTCATTAGTGCTATCCTTTCATTTTTAACATTTCTGAATAAAGATCTGCGCAAAGTTGGTTGTGGAATATATTTAATTGCATCATCGGTCACTTCTCTTCTTACAATATCTCTGTTTACAGTCAAATTTTGGTTTCTTCTTCTTACTGAAACAACTAAGCTGGTTAATCTTTCTACTTATTGGGGAGGCTGTATGTTTATTGAGCCGTTCCTTAAAATTTGCGTATATCTAAACGCATGGGTAAATGCTTGCGTGGCTGTGGAACGAGCTATCAACGTATCGAAAGGAATCAGATTTGATAAAAAGAAAAGTGCATACATAGCTCGATGGATATTGGTCATTTTACCACTCGTGGTTATCGGTACAATCGTCCACGAACCTATGTATCGTAATTTATTCGAATACACGAGCGAAGTATACAAGTTGGCGGAATATGAAGAGCCAGAGAACTCTACAAAAGGAACAGCCGAATCACTGGAAAAGGAGCCAGAGATCAGTGGTAAAGGAATAAATGAGTCAATTGTTTACGAAACTGAAAAGCATGTTTTATGCGTTACCAATTATTCTCATACTCTACAAAATTACAATACGTTCATCCTGTTCTTTCATCTCCTCATTCCATTCATGGCCAATCTTTTCTCAGCATTGTGCATCATCTTTGGCATTGCTCGGCAGCAATCGGTCATTCGAAATGGACAAACTTACAGACAACATCTTTTCGAACAGTTCAACGAGCATAAACAACTGATTATTAGTCCCGTAATTTTACTTATACTATCATCACCCCGGCTTATTATTTCATTGATATCAGGATGCGTAAATGCCTCTAGCAATCCATGGTTATATATTGTCGCTTACTTTATTTCATTTACTCCGTCGATATTGGTCTTTGTTGTATTTGTTCTCCCTTCAGAATTGTACATGAAAAGTTTCAAAAAGTTATTTCAAAATTTTCGTCCACAAGTCCATCAGTAAAACATCCTTGTAATTGTTGTCACTACATAACGCTTTGTTTCTTCACTCATATTAATGGACATTGCTTTTATTTTCTTCTTCTATAGAAGTAATGGGAGAAGAACGATCAAATAACACAAAATCAGCTGATGAGCATTTCGAATCATTATCACTTATTTGAGGGTGAATCCATGGAGACCCATCCACTTTTCTGGAAAAGTCTTTTTTTTCACTTCAGTATAGCAGTATGGTCTAGAAAACACTTATGATAAAAAGAAATCAAATACTTTCTTACAACTAGGAAAGAGAATGAAAGAATTTTTATTTAAATGTGAATGTCCTGATCTTTGTTGGGCGAGACGTCAAATTAAATTGAATCGTTGAAATGTTGATCGGTTTGAATTCATACATAGCTCGAATTCCTTGTACTGTACTTAGATCAATACAGACGTGAAGGAATAGAAGCAAAAGTGTTTCTCACATGTGCTTCGAAGGTTTTCGCTTCTAGCTTTCATATAACTGTTCTTCGTTTCTTCTACTTCATCTGATTTGAGATGAAAAAAAAACACCAACCTCAGGAATATTTTTGTCAGACCTTCTTGACGTTTCCAGTTGTTATTTTTTGTGTGAATTCGAAGAAGTCTTTTGCATTTGACAAGAGAATATTATTCGACAGCGTAGCACATCTAGCCGTGGACTTGAGTACCGCACCGATTTCACCGCCAGCACCTTTACCATGTTCTGTTGCTGTAAATGCCCAACAAGCATCCAAATCAAAATCGATCTTGTGGTGAATTAAGTTGAAAATGCTGGCATTGTTTTTGAAATGTGCACACGCACCATCGCTAAAGAAAAGGAAATGGTTGACGTAATGGGTAAACTTCAAGGAAAGTAAAACTTACTTCATATAATCGATCTTCTTTACCAACGGAAAACTTTTTGTGCACTGTGTGCAAATAGTGTTGTGTGTTCCATATAATCGCTAATGATCGTTAAATTTCGTTGTTCTTTTTCAATGGTCAGATGAATTGTAAACAAGGTGATTTGGTACTGACTGAAAAAACCCTTGTTGAACTTCATGCTGACGTACCAGTGTATAATTCATTGAACACAGACTCCATGAACATTCGTCATCCAAATCCATTATGCTGTTGTCTGTGAGAATATCTGTAATGCTTTCCGTTGAACATTCATCACATTCACTCTTAAAGCACTTCTCATTCGAGACAGTGCAAACCATTTGAATGATCAGATCCTTCATATCGAACGTGTCTCTAATTGATAAAGAACCTACACTGATACACTTTCGGCAGTAGTTATTCCATTCCTGTGATAAAGCTTCGTTACATTCGAACCAATATATAGCTGATACAAACCTTCAACAATATGTCCATATTCTCATGTATAATACACATATACGTTTCATGTGATCGAAGGGCATTAAAAGTTGATCTTACAACGGTTCTCAGATGTCGTTCATGGAAGATCTGATAAAGGAATATCCCTCATAGGCATTTTGAACAGGCTAATATTTAATTTTTTTTCGAAGAACAAGCGATGGTCGAGCATGACTTGGCTTTGACTTATATCTAATAAATAGAAGAAGTTCCTACCAAAATTTGATTAAGAATTACGAAAATATTGACGATAAAATACGCGCCATTTTTCAATTTTCTGTCGACTCCATTCTTTTGGAGCAACTATCGTTAAACGAACTTGTTCGCCATCATTACTATCGGCATATAACTTCTTTAGTCCGTCCAACAATTCATTCGATTCATATATCCTTAGTCCATGAGGATTTGGGTCATACGAAACTTGAGACTTTTCATCTAATATGTCGCATAATTGACTAAGTTTTATATATACCTCATCGACTTTGACTCGAATGCGTAATACTGTTGATCTAAATACAAATTTTGTTTCAAAAAATTCGAATTAAATGCAGAAATTAACCTGTCATGGATCGGATCTATGTTCAATAATTGAAATATATCTGATAGATGTTCCATTGTTTTTTCTTTTTTATGTTCAAGTTCATCGAAAGCATGAGGTGTATCTTCGTCCATAGATTCAGAATCGGTTGTTTCATCGTCGTCATTTGACTCAGTTATAATCCTACTATCCATATGAAGATTTGCTTTCTCTTCTTCACTCAGTTCATCAAGTTTCATATTTACGACAGCTTCACCCACACCCTCACCCATATCAAAGTATACGAAAGATGTTCCGAAAAATCACTCTACAACTCGGAATTTGGATAGAAAGTATCTAATTTCTTTTCATCAAAAGTGTTTTCTAGACCATACTGAGATATTGAAGTGAAAAAATCGAAAAAAAAACTTTTTCAAGAAGTGGATGGGTCTCCATGGATTCACTCTAATCTTAATTTTAGCTTGTTCCAAAATTTGAATGCGATCGATGAGTGTTTATGTTTTTAATTTAAGATTTATTCTTAAGCAGTTCCGTATGATATTGAAGTGATGTATTAACTTCAATCATATTTACCATTCCATTTTAATTTGACTGACATAGTCTGAGGATACGGCTGAACTGCTATTTCAAATGCACCTCGCACTACAGGTGGATTAGCAGGCGATACTATAACAAGATCACAGGCCGTACGTGCATTACATGAAGCCAGATGATCTACATGTAGGCGATAAACTGTAAATGGCACAGGAGATTTAACTGCACTCAACACTATCACAACAGACTGCGCATGCCAATTCACGACGATTGATTCAATCATACCCGCATCTAATGAGAATGCCGTTCCTAAAGGTTCAATATAAACGCGACGATGGAATGCATCGCGTGGTGTCACATTCCACACATTAGTTTCCCCTGTCAATGTAAGATCGCACAAATAGCAGACGGCTTCGCCAAGTATAGTATGATTGACAGCGTATGCACTTTGCAAAGAAGCCAGCCCATAGAACGCCATACCATAATCAGCATCCCAATAATCGTGTATCAATTTCCTCGGATCACCATGAAGACCCATACTACTTGCACCACTCAACTGAATATTCGTTAACGGCCCAGTTATGCTACCAATACCGACTTCCAGTAAATAGATGTCGTCCGGATTCAAATCATATGCATGCAATATTGGAAGAGCATTGAGACCTGAACCATAGTGGTGCAAGACTCGTTCTATTCCATCATTTAGTTCTTCACAGCCATTGTATACATAGTCCCAGAAACGTCTTGCTGCACCATGATAGCCCCAATTTGGAATACTATGCGTGTAAGCTAACACGGCTTGTAATGTGCTATTGGACAAATTGTATAAACCAAAGTATTGAGCTGTTAGATAAATTTCTTCTTGACCAGTACTGTCCCATGGGAACTCCGAACCGAATGGAAATGGTAAAGACTGCCATATAGATACTCGTGTTTGTTCTAGGGCCAACATTTTTTGAAATTCTTCGACATAGCCCTCAATCCGTAAAGCATCCAATACGCGTAAGAAAACTGATCCTACCATCAATCCAAATTGACTATAGTAGGCGGCAAATTTTACCATAGCTACATAAGTTTGATATGCTTGCATTAAATACCACGACCATGTTTGTAGAGTAGTAATGTTAGGATTGTCACGAGCGATTCGGTATAACGAATAGTATATTGCTGTAGGATGTACGTAATTATAGGAGCGCCACGTCGTGTTCGCGCGCTTCTGGTCCCAACCATCAGTGATGGTATAGTTGTAGCCTGGCATACCAGGATACCAAAAGGTACTAGCAACGACTGTGTAATCTCTCCATTGAACACGTGTCTCGAACGGCACATACTTACTAGGGCCTTTGCTGCCGAACAATGTATTATTGATGTACAGATCTAGCAGATGCACCTGATCTGATTCGGGTGCGTACTGGTTCTTGACGGCAAAACCAAGGCCTGGACCTGCGCCGGATTCATCACTAAGACCGACAACAAAGGAGCGGCTTTCTTGAAGTATAAGTTGTTGCGAATGCCAATTGTACGGCATAATAGACTGACTTCGACCGAATGGATCTGCCGGATCATCATACCATTGATATTTTGCATTGAATTCACCAAATGTTTGAATATGTGTACGAAAAGATGGTAATACAAACATGCTCACGACCTGTCGATATTCAAGTGCGCTATCGTCACTGTAGTGTACAATGACACGTACACGTCCATAAATACGAGGATACAGTTGATACGCATGCCAACCAGATGTTAGTATCGCCGAAGTATTACTAATATCCATAATAGCGCTGTTGCTGACATTGATTTTAGATATTTTATATCGACCAGGTAGCACAAACAACGTGACATTTCCCATATCAACACCGACAACATATCCAGGAACGACCTTCACAACAAGTTTCTGCATTTGTGCAAGACCACTCTCGACATCTCGCACACTCGGAAGCAATCGCATATGAAGCCCATAAATGACAGAAGCACCCGGTTGTAGCACAATGGAATCTGTGAGTGTCCATAGTCGCTCGTCGGGTACGGCTTTCCACTCGTTCATACGATATGCATCAGCTAGAAACGTATATTCATAGAAACCTTCGAAAGTAGCAGATCGGACCGTAGGATCAGACAGAAGCGGACGCCATGCATTCATCCCACCATTACCGTATGGCAGCACCAATAGAGTGGGCCCTTCGCCACTTATCCGTGTAACCTTGACCCAGGCATTATCTTGACCAATGTACGGCTCTGTTATACTGCAATGTTGTGCCGTTGTATTCAGGTCTAGACCAGACCAGTCATTGTTAAAGACCATTGACATGCCCAATGCACCTAGCTGCTGTGCATACGCTTGAGTATTTGTCACATTCACCTGAATGATAAAACCTCCATGACGATCCGTCGACTGCTTGTAAATTCGTGTAATGTTAAGTCCGTGTCCTGGATTTAGTAGAGAAGTGATATCATATGCTATCAGTGAATCAGCCACTTCTACAACACGAGCTGCCCCTCCATAAGCGTCAGTCGTTGAGAATTCTTTATACGAGTCTGTTGAGTTGGCCCGACGAATGCGAAGTGTAACATCTCCCGTACTGTGATAGAACGGTTGAGTACGATTGATAGGCGACGTGTCATTTACGGTAAAACTAAAGATTGTTTCGTTCAAATTGGGATAAATGTACGCAACTGTTCCTTTATGATCGAGAATTCCTAGAATGAAGTCGCCTGTAGTGTCACGAATGACAAATTGCGGATTTACTGATTGAACGACTGTATATTGCATGTTGATTACGCAAAGCAATAACAGAACAGAAACTGTTATTGTATATTTCATGTTTTAAATGTTACAAAACTATCTACGATAAAAAGGTTTCGTAACGAGTATCGAATGAGTATAATTCTCGTTCACTACACTTTATATAGTTTTATAAGATGGTAAGGTTGCCTAAGATGTATCATATAAGTTAAAATAAATATTTGCAAATATAGCAAGTCAAATAATTTTATTTATACTTGAGTTTAAAGAACACACGTACTTTCTACTCGAATAGACACAAAAAAGTGCGAGTGCATATATTGTCATCGTAGCTCTACATTTCACATTATCTCTCCAACCATCACACAAAATATTCTTACGAATAAAAAACGCAAATAGCTTCTACCCTTTTTCTGTACTTTCTTATACAAAACCTTGAGATATCAGGCACATGATATATCTTATCTCGAATATCTGATGCTCCTACTTGATGTTACAATTTTTCTCTTATGATCCTCTTACATTTTTTGAAAAATATAATCGTTTCGACATTTTATTCTGTACACATGGTTATTTCTTCAAAACTTGATAATAATTCTCACTACAGATTTCCGGTGCACAGTGTGGGTTTAGCTATGCCTTTGTCTACGATCCACACTCGCTTTCCCATCACAGATTGAAAATCATTATGATAAAAAGTGAAGATATGGATTCTTATTAACGAATTACAAAGCATACCCTCACTCTCAAGTTCTAATGAAAATATTTATGGGCTAATCCATGGAGATCCATTCACTTTTTGGAATGGTTTTTTTTCGATTATTTTCGCTTCAAAAAGCCCGTGTGCTCTAGAAACACTTTTGATGAAAAAAAGTTGGGTCCTGTTAGCGCAGCTTTGTTTTCTCATCTCTATCTATATGTGTCTGTATGTGTGCGCATGTTTTATGGATATATAATAAACCGGAGCCACTCTCACGAAGGAGAGCTGCTAATAGGTCCTATGTGCTAAAAAACCTCGAGTTTTTTAAAATGTTTTTTCATATATAGAAAAAATGATAGAAAAGCTCTTTTTTCGACATTGTTCGCGCTCATAAATATCAAATAAGTGTAGCAAGATGTTTTCTGATAATAATTACAGAAGCTTCCTTGCAAATCATATTCGCTAACAAACGTTTGAAGTGTATAATAAGTCTTATTTCGCTTAGAAATCTGTCCCAAGAAATGAACTTCAAACGAAGGAATTCTAAGTAGTATAGCAAGAAATACAGTTATCCAATCTATTTGAATACCGGGTTTCATCACCAAGTTTGACTTTAAAAAGATGTGATCAATTAGGAAAATCACATGAAGTAGTTGTATTCAAGTGAAAAAGTTCTTATCTGCGTTGATCGACCAGTCTAACTGTTGAATGGCTAATTGGCACCAATTAAAGAGAATAGAACCAAAAGTCGTTCTCATCTGTAACTCGACGTTTTTCGCTTCTGCTTGGATTTGATGTGTTATAGCGTTTTCCGGGAAATTTGAACTTAAGCCTATAATTCCCAATGTGGAATAATTCACAATAGGCGAGATGGATCTAAACCTAATTACGGAATTTTCATAATGAGGCATATAGGGCACCGAAACCTACCCCGCACCATCACACCCTTTTAAAACCTTTTATTTTTAAAATTTTTCATAAGGCATTAATTGCCGATCCATCCATCAAATCATGGCTACGTCACTAATTCCAATTCAACTTAATTCATCGATGAATGTATAAAAATTTGGCGAGCTCAGTTCATATTATTCGAAAACTCTATTAAACTCAAAAGAATGATCAATTATAAAAATGTAAATATAAAGTATTTCAATTGATAAATAAAATTTAAGCAAAGCATTTTTTTATTCTTTTAAAATTGAAAAAAAGAAAATAATAGAGAATCTTTTTTTCAAAATGATATTTATAAACAGTTGTTTTTATTTAATAATATATAAATTGACATTGTTTGACGATCAACAGTAATCATATCTTGATAATTATCATTATTAATATCATTAATAAGAAGTGATACAAAATAACTTTCAATTTCTTTTGCATAGATTTTTTGCGAATTAAATTGTCCATTTTCATATGAAAATAATCCATAAATTCCATGTGAACGGCTTAAACCAATAATATCCGAATGATTATCATGATTAATATCAATCATAAGAACTGAAATTAATTTTTCAATTGATTCTAAAATAATTTTATGATTTCTAATGAAACGATTATTATTATATTGATATGTCATGTAAATAATATCTTTCCATTGATAAAGAAAGACAATATTATTATTATTTAAATAATCAATTGAAATATAATTTAAACCAGAATCAATTGAAGTAAAAAATGATTTTTGTACTAGGAATGTTCCATTGCTTGTCCCAAAAAATACATAAATATGTGATGATTTACCATCATAAACAATGATATCGACAAACTCATCATAATTAACATGACCAACAACTAAATCCGTTAATTCACAATACAAGGCTGTAAATAAAACGTATTTTAATGAAAAACTTCCGTTTGAATTTCCGAACATGACATAAATATTCTCTTCTACAGGCATAATCATAATAATATCCAGTATTTTATCATTATTCAAATGATTAACACTAATTTTTTGTGGATCATTTTTTAGTGCCACAGGTATGAAACTTTTTTCAAATCTTCCATTAGTATTTCCTTGTAAAACGATGAGATATGATTTCATATTCATATTATAGATTAAAAGAATATCAGATTGATTATCATTATTAAAATCATTTATATTCATATGATTAATTTCATTTATATTTTCAAATGAATTAATTATTGCTTTTTGAAATGTTCCGTTATTATTACCAAATAGAATAAATATTTTTGAATTTAATAAATTATCACATAAATATATGATATCAATGGAATTATCCTTATTGAAATGGCCAGTGCTTATGAGAAATCTGAAATTCGTTTCATTACATGATATATTCATTGAGATTTCTTCGAATTCCAATTCACAAAATGAGTCTACAAAGAGGAATATAAGATATTTTCGAAAAATATGTTTAAAATAAATTCAGATCTTTTCTTTTTTGCAAAAGTGTTGATCAGCGCTGTTCCTTCAGACTTTCAATGTGCAATTCATATCCCTACCACTCACATATTCAATATAGTACATAGGTCTTTAGTAAAGAAATCCTATCATAAAGTTGTGCACTGTTCTTGATAATAAAGAATAGCTGCAACGGACAGGAGTGAAAGTTCATAAGTTTCTCGACTTAAACTTAAAACTTACACTCACTTTTTTCTTTTCAAAAAATCTATGTGAGTTCCACAATAACATCATCATAGTCTTCAAACCTGATATAGTTGAAGATGTTGACATGATTATTGCTGTTGTATTATCAGCAATACCATTTTTAGTTGAAACTACAACGATCAGTATTAAACGATCTTTTTTTTTAAATTTCAATATTTCTTACTAGTTTTTGCGTAGTAAATTGAAAAAATAATCAGAATTCCAATTAAAAATATAAATAATAAAGTTATCTTTAAATAATGTTGAATTGATAAAATAATTCGTGTGTTTCTAAACAAACGAGAATCTATTAAATAAATAAAATATAAAACAATTTACTCAGATATTCTTCGTTCTCTTGTTTGAATATTAATATTATTTGACAAGATTACAATAGGATAAATAGAATTTCGTTTTGTTTTATAATAATTATAGATTGTAAAGATAATTTGAATTATTTTTGGTGAAATCCATTTAAAAACTAAGGTTAAACCCCCTTGAAGACTAAGAAAAAGTGTTATAATATATAAAAAATTAAATCTTTCAAGAGAAGTATATGAACATATTGATGGTGAACAAATATTATAATATGAAGAATAATTTGTTATATTTAACCATTGTTTGATAAATGAATGATGAATTAATTCATTAATTGTAAGATTTGGTAAAAAATCAATTGATGTATTTAATGCAATTGAAGAATTTGACAAATTTGTATATTGATAAATAAGGTTAAGACAAGATTGATCATAAAAGCATTCAAGAGTTGACTCAAGAAATGATTCACTTGGTGTACAACCCATTTTCATACCTTTGATTGGAAATGAAGAATTTTCTTCAAGAAAATAAGCTTGACTTGTACAATTTGAAAACATTCCACATGAACATTGATTGTCATAAGTAATTGATTCTGTATAGAGATAACTACGAGGATTTCGATTTATTCTTGTTTTATAAAGAAAATTTGTTCCATATGTTGATAGAAAGGCATTTCCATGATTAATTATACGAGTCATTGAAAGAAAGTATGAAAGTAAAATAGGAGAATTACTTTGACTTTGTTCGATAAGAATATTTAGACGATGTTCGAAATTTTCTTTAGGTAAAAGTTCAATTGTTATTAATAATGATGAAAGAAGTTCATTTATGGAATTATAAACTACGTTTTGTGAGATTTGACATAAACCTTGAAGATATTGTAAATGAGCTGAAAGAAATCGACGATAATCTCGTTCATGATAAATTGATAAATTTGAAATTAAACCATTGGTTAAAGAAATTCGCCATTCCTCAGCAATAAATTGACTTGAACAAATCTGAAGAAAAGGAGAATTCAAGTTGTATCATATATCTCGCAGACAGAAGATCTATCTCCTTAGAGTTGACGACCGAAACAGACAAGATTTTGAAAAAAAGCGTTTAAACGTACATGACTGTGAGAAAATATGCCACTTTTTTCTCTGCGTTTCAATACGGTTTTTTAAAACCTTGTCTGCTCGAGGAGTCCATCACTAAATATGACTTGCATGCATCGCTGGAGATAATCTCTCTTTAAAAACAAATACACCCTCGCCCTCGCACTGATAAAGAATTCCAAGTGAGATGTTATGAAATGCTTACCGGATGAAATCTGGTTTCAATTTTGAGCGAGTCATTGTATGTTGATGCTATTTTTGAACATAAACATTGTAATTTATTTCCATAACTTTCTCGTAATTTTTCATAAGAGTTTAAATCCGGCTTATCAAAATTTTTTGTTACAATACGTGATTGAATGTTTGTGTAAAAGAAAAGAATTGTTATTGTGAAAATAAATGAAAACATATAAAGACGAGTTGCCCATTGACCATATTTTATAGATATTAATCGATCAGTGTCATATCCAAAATCCCGTGACGAAAAAATATTCAATTCAAAAAGAGTTTTAACAAAAAGTTTCAAAAGATTTTCTAGAAATCTTTTTATTCGATTGGAACGATTTTGTTGAACTAAAAGAATAAGAAATTATTTTGAACTTTTTTTTAATATTCTTTTGTTTACTTCGTCGCTTTCGTTTTTTCTTAGATAAAATTTCTAATAATTTGAAACTAAATAAAATAAGACGAGGTGTAAGAATTCGTAATGAAACCATAATTCCATTAATCATTGATATTAATATTATTATTACTCCAAGAAAATTTTCTTTACGAACTTTTTTTGAATAAGTACAATGGATTGGTGAACATTCTTTATAAAATAGGTCATAAAATAAAGATATATTCCATTCTTCAATCATTATTTCTTTAAATATATTTGAAATTGTTGTATTAGGAGAAAATTGACTGAGATTTTGATTAGAAATTAATGGTTCAATTGAATTTGATAATGAGAAATGAACATTTTCAAGTTGTTTATCTAAATGTCGTAATACAAATGGAAAACATTCTGAATCTTCATAAAAACATTCCAATGTTGAATAAAGAAGAGAATTCATATGTGTACATCGATGAATCCAACCTGATATATTATGAGCAGGTATTTTGCCATTATTGGGATTAGTTGCCAAACCAAATGAATATATAACCGATGACATTTCACAATTGGGATTTGTAGCACAAATACATGAGAGCTTATTTGAATCAATCTCTTGAATTCCATTTAAGAGAAATTGAAACTAAATAATTAATCATTATTTTAGTTTATGGTTTAACAAAACAAAGTGCAGGGAGAAAATCTTTGGAAATTATAGAAAGAAATAAGAGTAGTGTTACATATTCCACGGACTGCGCATACTCGAGATACATCTCTAACATCATAGGCAACAAGCATTGCAATGCAATAATACTTCGCGCCTTTTTTTGTCCTCCCCTCCTCCTGCCTCTTTTGAATATGAAGAATAGTTCAACATTTCATGATTTTATTTAAAATAGATTGTTCCAACTATAGTGAGCAACAAACCCTTGTATTCCCACCGGAAAGTTTTCAAAAATCTCCAGTGAGTAGGCGACGTCGACTCATGCCCTACCCTGACTACACCACCAGTTCTAAAGTTTGCTTTTTATAAAATAATCTATTGTGAAAAATAAGAATAACATACGTTTATCGTTTTATTTTTGATTGTTGCATCAAATTTATCAATTTGAATTAAATTAATACCCGATTCATAACCAGCTGCTCCATATGCACTTGTATAAAATTGATCAATTTGCATTAATAATTGTGAAATATTTATCATTAATTGAAAATGAAAAGATATTGATTTATAAAATTGATTAAGACTTGAATTAATTTGTTTATTAAAATCATTTTGATTTATTATAGATGAACTAATAAATAATTGTGAAAGATATCGTTTTATTGAATCATCTATTGTTTCATCAGCTAATTTACAAAAATCTCTTAATAATTGAAATTGTGCATAGGCACCATTACGCCAATCATTATAAACCACTGAATTAACTCCTTCTTTTAATAAATAAATCCAATAATCATTAACGAAACCACTTGAACATATTTGATGAAAACGTGGTGATATTGAAAGAAAGTTTTTATACATTATTCCCTTATTTAAACATGGACATCGAAGTGTATTCGAATATCGAATTTCTAAAGATTTATATTCTATTATTGATATATTTCGAACAGTTATTGTTAAGATTTCATCATTTAATGATGTAAATAAACATAGAACACAAATTGAACCTGATAATAAAAAGAAAACAATATGATCGTATACGAGGAATAGCTGTCTATAATTCCAGGTCGTTTATAAAATATATATATATATGTTAAAGTGAAATTAATAAGATCACCTACGTTGACAATATGTTCCATGATGACCTTAGAGTAACCTTTCGAATCCGTCGATGTGGACTATTCTCATTTCTACAGAAGAGCATAAAAATGTATCAAATCAAAACTACGTTTAGTCCTACACTCGCTCTCATGATTACTTAGGGACTATTATATATTAGAGCTCTAATTAGACAACTCATACTTACAAAATAATAATATTAAATAAACACGTGTGATTATCCTTTGTTGTTTCATACTTTTCTCCGTTCGATCATTGATATTTTTGAATAAATTCAATTTTTTTATTTTACAAAATATATCAATTCTTGGTTGTTCAACTAAAATGAATTCTATAATAAAATATTTTATCAAATTAAAAACTTTTACTTGAATTTTGATTTCGTTTTTTGAAAAAAAAATCTTAATTTTGTGATAAAATCGATTGTAAATGATGAAACAAGACGAAGAATAATAATGAGACCACTATAAAGACTTATAAAAAGAGTTATTGAATAAGATAATTCAGTTCGTTCTTTCATCGAATATGAACATGATAATGGTGAACATTCATTAAAATATTTGAAATAATTTATATTTTTTGACCAATTTTTGATAAAAAGATTATTTAATGATTCATTTATTGAAATATATTCATATTCTGATGTTAATATTGAACTATTTGGATTAAAATTTATCTAAATTAAATATTTTTTAATAGAAATATTTTACATTTCTCTTCTACGAACTTTTTTAAGATTTGGAAAATACTTCAATAATAACTGAAGACATGTTATATCATATAAACAATCTAATGTACTATGAAGAATTGCGTCAAGTGGAGTACATCCTGTGTAAAATCCATTAATAATAGTTGAATTTACCATTGGTTTCATTCGAGTTCTAACAAGAGGTAAAATTGTTTCATAATTAACTGAAGAGACTGTTGCATTTATTAATGAATTGTATTTACTACATATTTTGTGTCCCTTATTCGAATCATAAGAAACATCATGTGATTCTAATTTTAAAAATTGATCATCATCATCATCTTCTGATTCACGTGTTAATATCATAGAATTTGTATTCAATGATGAAGTAAAACGATGTGTTTGTATTGTATTTTTTAAATAATGTAAAAATGAAATGATTCGATATGACATACTTTTGTTTAGAAAATCAATTTTTCTATTGATTTCAATTTCAATTTCCTTTTCCGAATGTACAGAAAAAGTAACAAGTTTGGTTTTATTTATATCCAGGCGAATTTCATTAAGAATTTCTTTGGAAAGTAAACAAAATTTTGATAAAATTTCAAACTAAAAATAGAAAAGATTGTGTCATGTACAGTTGTTTCCTATTCCTCAGTTTGCCTATGTTAATGGCCTAAATCAAAACGAACCGATGTTTTTAATGTTTTTTTCTTCTTCTAAGAACGTTGTCCTAACTACATGTTACTAGAAACGAGCAACTCCGAAGTTGGAATGATCGAGAATACGTCCTTCGAATTCTTTCATTTCTTATTTTGATTTTGTGAATCCTATTGATATTTTTGTAACGCATTCGTATGTTTTGTGAAAAACTCACTTGTGAATAAGCTGTTGTTCGAAAATCCCAAACTCCATATTGACTTGCATTTTCAAAATATAATGATTTAATCCATTCTTGTTCAATAAAATAACTTGAACAAATCGGATACATTGTTATATTATTTGAAATAAAATTCTCATATGAGATTGAGATTTTTGAACATGAACATGAAAGAATTTCACCATACTTATCATTTAATTCATTAAATTTATCAAATGTTATATCTGATAGAATTTTTGTTCGCGATTCACTTTTCAATAAAGTTACATAGAATAATATATAAAGACATACTAAAATAAAGTTATTTTTATATAAATAATCAACGTTTTGACTTCAAATCGTTTGAAAATATGTCAAATGTATTCATTTCTATCCTGTACTTTGATTTAAAAAAAAAGAAATGTAATTTACCTATTAGAAGAATAATAAGTAACCAAGTTTTATATTTTTGATATTTAAGAGCAATTTCTTGATCTTGAATACTATTATCATCATAATCATTCTCTTCTAACATAAAAATATTATAATTATATCCCTTTTTATATAACCATATTAATACATTTTTCCATTTCATCATTGAAAATACTTGCTGGTGAACAAAATAAAAAATAGATCATAATGAAAACAATGAAAACAATGAATAAATTTTTATCTCTAAATAAATTTATATTAGATTAACAAATGTTTCTCGAATAATCTATTCATTTTTCAAATATCGTGTTTTCTTTCAATATTTTTATTTTAATCAACAAAGTGTTTAGAAAGAAAATAAATCTGTTCATCTATTTCAAATCATTTTCTTTTCAAATGCGTGAATTTCTTCGAGATATTTTTCATAAAAAAAGCTAAAAAATATATTCACCATTTGAACGAACATTGTTTGTAGATATCAAATCACATATGCGTGAAAAATGGTAAACTTCAATAGCTATTCAATTAAATAAACACGACAAAGAGAAACGGACGGTTATACACCTAAATAACTTTAAAGAAGCGAATCGAAAGAGCCGTATAATAGCGAAAAGAATAGAATGAACAGAATTATATAACGAGTAATAGTGAGAGTTGAAAATAGTCGAAATTGAAGATGTTGTGACGTTTAATATATGGAACATAGAAGCGAGTAGAACATTTATGATCATCTATACTTTGAACTTTTTCACATTAAAACATATATCCTATGGATTCGATGAATGTATTCATATCTACATCTATATTAATGTCATTCCATTTCATTTTAAGAATAAAATGAAAAAGTATGTATTTTTATTGATTATCATGCATATTTGATCACTACTGGAGCTTATTCATTATCATTTCGACATGAAAATGAAAATTTACTAGTTTTTTTTCTGTCTCAACGATTCATCCCACAACATTGTAACACATGTATTTGTGCCAATAATATTTGCATTATGAATATACGTAAAATGACGATGTCTTTTTTACCTAGAAATTATGCATTGGTGGGACCAAGGGGCTCCGCCACTGAACGTATGTTAACCAAAAGGGTGTCATAATACCCCATATAAGATTTTGAATTGAAAAGAGAAAAAAATCTAGTTCAGAAGACTCGTCATCGCAGTTAATTGCCTCAATCTATGCAGTTAAAAGAATTCTTGAATTGAACATGCTTTTTTCTAACCTTTTAGAAGAATTCAATGATATTTCTAAAAAAATGGCTGCAACTATGTCATCTCCACGTTGGGCAGCATTTGATCAGTATGTTAGCACACACCGTGAAGTAAATTTTCGAAATCGTTGGAGATCCATGCGTGTTGTTAAATGTGAAATTCTTGGAACAATAATCTTTTGGAGTCTTATTTATTACACCAATATCGATAGTTTTTGTATTTTGGCACCAAGTGCATTCCGAAAATTCAATAGTTTTGTCTTGATTTTACACTAGGTCCAATAACAATGATTCTTATATTTACACGAAAATCAATTGAAAGTCTTTGATTAATGTTTCATACTATCCAAAGTGATCGTTTAACAAAACAAATACGAGGAATGTTAGTTCCACAATTATTCGTTTTAGCAATATCTGGTATGCCATTTGGTTTACAAAATATTTATATAGATTTAACCAGTCGAATACAAAAAAAACACAGTAAGATACTTTAAGACACGCGTAATCTTCTCTAAGGAATATCTACCATATCACTCGTTCACTTCACTGTTTTGTTTTGCTTTGAGAGGATAAATATGTTGATGACGAATATAATTGCAATTTTGACCATGATATTCTTACCATCATCGTCGTATATTGGAAGTTATCGATAAAAGTGTTTTGTGATGGCACATATGTGCTAGATATAAAAACTATCGAACAAGTATCTCGTTTTCTATGAGTACTCGAGGTCATGTGTGCGAAAACGAATGATAATTCACACAAACCTTCAATCTGTATTGCTTCGCATTGTTTTGGCTAGATTGACGTGCGAAAAAGACAAATATTCATTACTTATCGAATTGTTGTTTTTATCGAATACTTTGGCATTAGCTTATGCTTGACACGAGAGAGGTAAAGACAGACCGTGCTTCGGATTAATTGCTGTTTTTATTGATCATGGCAAGAAAATGTTTTGTTAATTGTCTTTTGTGCGTGTAAACCAATAAATACGAATTTTATCGAGGAAAAGTAATTGATTATGCTAAAAGATCAAAGTAACGCATTCCCCAATAACTGATGAGGAAAGAGGTTGGATCCATCTCCACAGTTCCATTTCCGTTGTCCAACAAGTACACATTCCCGTTCCATAAATGAACAGCTCGTTCATCAGGTGGTAACATTGTCAATGAATGACGTCCACCGTTACAATTAGCAGGTGTATTGATTTCAACGTCGAGACGATCACTATTGAACTGTGGCCAATCAACTAACTCCAACGGCCAACGCTGCATATACCATATACTATCATCTAATAAAGTTGTACAATCAAAACCAAAAGGTGATATATTCGATTCTTTAAACAAATGTTGAGTAGCATTTACTTGACCACTGGCATAACAATAGATAAAATTATAAAATGGTGACTTTTCCATTTGTTTGTACTTATGTGAAAGATCCAGACCAATCTTCATGTATTCCAATATGTTATCGATGATTACCTGCGCGTTTGCTTTTTGTCTAGGAGATAAATAATCATTCGAGAAAATTTTCTGAGCAGCTGAGACCAGATTGAAATAAGAGAGATAGGCGAGTTCATCATCGGAAAAATTATTATCACAAACAGCCAGCATTTTCTGATTAATAATATTAACATCGTATGAATAGGATTCGATCAGAAGTTTGGCGCCAACAAGAAAACGTTCATTTCCACTGTGAGCATAAGTTTGAAGTAGGAAAGCTAAGATTTCGAGACTGTTAAGACCTCGGTCGTCTTGAAAATCAAAATCATCATTGACATCTTTTGGATTCCAGATACCCCATGATGTATGATTTGCTGTTTCACCTACTAAATACCAATCATGAGTCAAGATATTATTGGTAATATTAAAGAGCAGAATGTAAGCTCGATAACGTTCATCATCATTGGTAGCTAATAAATCATATACTAATGGATAAATAAACTCATGCCCATCGATTTCGTCGGATGATGTATCGCTTTGATATCGAAGAGTTGAATTATAAGGAGATGGATGCCAATCAGGATAAGGAGTAAAATCAGTATGTTCTTCAAATGAACGAGCAGGATAACCTGGTATACCTGTGACTTTATTGAGTAATTCTAATGCTTGAAAATGTGTCCATGCCGATGCTTTGACTGTCACATCTTGAGTGACTTGATAACGAAAGATTTGGCTACTCAAATACATCGAAGTCCAAAGACCATCGTTTTCATCTGCTCTTTTGATACAAGTACGACTATCTC